AATTACCATAAATTAACGAAGTGTCAGAACAACACCAAAATCAGTTTGCATAGGTTTCAGGAGGTGGGCTAACCATTGCAACCATTTAAAACGGGTTCCAGACATTGTAAGACACTTTTACAGGAGCGAAAAAGGACTTCGCAAAGCCATTGAAATTCATTGAGTCGGCTTCAATGCATTTCAATTGGGGAACCGGGTTTCACTCAACGATGTTTCCTATGGCGATTTTCGCTTAAGGATGGCAATCCGTTCCAATTGGAACGGATTAACCTGTTTTCAATGCATTCCTATGGGAAATGGTGTTTCGCAGAACGATGGTTTCACACAGCGATGAATTTTTTGGAACCAATTAACATCGTTGTGCGAGGCACCACTGTATTAAAACAAATAAAAATAAAGATTAACATCAGCAGGTTATGACATCAGTAGTTGTGCCAACTTGATTTCACCCTTTGAGTTAAAAGCTACTTTTCTATATAAAAGAGGGATTATAGAGAATATACCTTTGAGTAGACATAGTCTAGAGGGGCGGGGTATAAATTTAATAAATAAATAAATAATTATTAATAGCGTAGTATGACAAGTATTGTATTTTATTCTGGGCTTCCTAGAAGATCTCAGGAACTAGAAATTAACTTAAAATGAATCATCCCCTCTTTATGTTTTGTAACTACAGTATTTGATTTCTGCAAACTGTTTATAAAGTAAGAATACACATGGTTCTATTGGCTGGATAGCTCAATGAGTTAGATATCCAGCTCTGGAACCAGTGTTGGGAGTTTAGTTCCCCACTGTGTGTCCTAGGCCGTAGCCTGTGTCAGTTCCCTACCCTGTGTAGCCTTGGGCAAGCTGTGTTCTGATTATTCTATCTAGAAAACTCTGGAAAGGATTGCCATAAGTCAGGTTTGGAGAGTATATTCAACTGCCAGGCTTTTAGAAGTTAGCTATTCATGTTATCAAGTGATTGATAGTGGGAACCTACTTGTGTGGAATAACTTCAGAATTCTAAATTTTGAGTTATTTTATGGTGATTGTAGCGTTCATCCTGCTCATGAATATTTATGTTGTGATGTGCATGCACCAGTAGGAGTTGGTGGGGAGTGGAGTTAAGAGGAGATTAGAAGAAAAGAGGGTTTGAGTTGAGAGCTAATAACATTGACTGGACTTTTATCACTTTTAACAATAATTTCTACTTGGTTCTTAAATGATATGATACCCGGACCGCTGTCATTAATAGTGAACAAAGTTAATGTAATCAACTGGTGGCAGCTGAATGACACGGAGTGTACGCCTTTGCTTGGTGAAACAACCAAGGGCCATGCATGATATTTAAGATTCTGAGATGAATCTGTTCAGGACATTCAAAAGGCCCAGTGCCATAGGGGTGCATACCCTTGTCATAGTAGTGTCATACCTTTGGCTCTCAGCTCTCTGTAAAAGACATATTAGTCTCTTCAGGGTGGAATTTTGCATGTATATTTCATTCCGAATGATTAATGTTCATATTCCTTTCTGGATTTTCCCCTCTGTTTGTCCATAGTTTACGAACATTGAACTAATTGTATTTACAGTGGTGCCTCGCAGAACGGGCGCCTCGTAGAGCGATGAATTCGCTCTATGAGGCCGTTTTTGCGATCGCAAATGCGATCGCAAAACGGTGCCCGTATGGGGGGAAATCGCAGAGCGAAGGTCGGTAAGCTGCTCGCTTACCGACCTTCGCTTTGCAACCTGACAAGAGGCTGCGCGCAGCGTTTTCGTGCCCTCCTCTTGCTTACCAAGGGCGCAAAAACGCTGCGCCCCGGCCCCTTTCGGCTGTTCCGGCGGCCATTTTGGCCCCGCCGGACAGCTGATTGTCGGGTTGCAAAGCGAAGGGCGGTAAGCGAGCAGCTTACCGACCTTCGCTCTGCGATTTCCCCCCATACGGGCACCGTTTTGCGATCGCCTTTGCGATCGCAAAAACGGCCTCATAGAGCGAATTCATCGCTCTACGAGGCGCCCGTTCTGCGAGGCACCACTGTATTTTGAAATTGTTTCTTTGGAAGGGAAATGATTACAGTGGTGTCTCGCTTAACAGTGATAATCCATTCCAGGAAAATCGCTGTTAAGCGAAAACATCGTAAAGCAAAATAAAAAGCCCATTGAAACGCATTGCAAACCGTTCAGTGCGTTCCAGTGGGCTAAAAACTCACCGTCCAGCGAAGATCCTCCATACGGTGGCCATTTTCGGTGCCTGTATAGCGAGGAATCCATCCCTAAACACAGCGGGGAGCCATTTTAATTAATCGGTGGCCATTTTGAAACCACCGATCAGCTGTTAAAAACTATCATTTTGCAAAGAATCAGTTCCGGAAGCAGTCGTCATGAAGCGGATTCGTCGTAATGCGGGGTAATCGTAAAGTGGGGCACAACTGTATCTTGAATACAGCAAAAAAACCTTTCATTGATTGTTTCAGCAAGATTATAATTTTATGTAAAATGAGCATGTAATTACAGTGGTGCCTCACATAGCAACGATAATCGGTGCAGCAAAAATCGCTGCAAAGCGATTTTCTCGCTATACGATATTAAAAAGCCCATAGGAATGCATTGAAACCCCTTCAGTGCATTCCTATGGGCTTCAGACTCACCTTTAAGCGAAAATCCTCCATACGGTGGCTATTTTCGCTGCCCGGTAAGCGAGGAATCTGTCCCAGAAAACAGCGGGTGGCCATTTTTTTAACCCGGCAGCCATTTTGGAACCGCCAATCAGCTGTTAAAAAATCATCGCTTTGCGATGATCGGTAAGCGAAACAGGGTACCGATCATCGCAAAGCGATTTTTCCCCATAGGGAACATCGTAAAGCGATTGCAAAAGCGATCGTAAAAAGTTAATCGCTATGCGATTTCATCGTTACCGGGGCGCCCGTTAAGCGAGGCACCACTGTAGTCTAAATTGCAAATAACTTGAGTCAGCTGTTAACTCAGTTTTGAGCTGAAATTCAGGAAAATATTTAAGACTGAAATCTAAAAATACATACTTGGAAGGAAAAATGTAGACTTTAATCTCATCAGAATTGATAGTTTTCATGGTGGAGTAAATATGTTTAGAATATGCTAAACATGTTCAAAGTAAAACAAGTGTTAAACACTGCCTTTGAACATCTTATGTATAGATCAGGTATTTTATTCTCTTAAACAACATTGGGTCCTGAGAAAAGTTGTTGCTCTGTTCAATGAAATGCATATTTTTGTATTTCAGTGTAGAGACCTACATATAGAATGTAGAAGTGCTTTGTGTGAACACTCAGTTGTTGAGTTCCTTTTCCTTTTCTGCAAGAACTACATTTTTTAGACCTGCTGAGCAATCAGAGGCAATGTTTTTGTACAATAAAACAAAGTTTTAAAACAGCATTTTGTGTTTCTTTGCAGAAATACAGTGGACTGAACTGCAGATACAGACCTTCATTCTACTTCTGAACATTTAAGTATCTGATAAGAATCTTCTTTTCTTGCTATTTAAGAAGAGCACTGCAACAGGAATGCGCAGTTTATTAACTCCAAGTTGTTAATGCATGAAGTAAGGCATTCTTGTGAAAGCACATCTCCATATTATAGTGGTTGTCCTGCATGCAACACACTTGCTAATTTTTTTCTACTCATAATGCAACTTGATGGAAGAAAATGTTCTATTAAACATGTGTGAAGGTCGTTCATTTCATGTCCGTTACAGGTAAGCAGATACACTAATTTTAAATGTATTTTTCTGAAAGGCAGTTTGTATGCGAATACTAGAGTTAGAGAAATTAGTCAGTTTTGTTCTCTTTTCCAACATTTTGTATGTTGTTCCCGTTTCTGAATCAATTTAATTTTTTAAAGTACACAAAAAATGTGTCCTTGTTCTCATGTGTATTTTCTGAATGCATACATTTTAAAACACAGTATTATATATATTATATAATATATAGTTTCTCCCCCATCCTAACACATGACTCTTTTACCGTTGGAAGAGATGTCGGAAAATTCGGTATCTTAATACTGTACCAGGATCAGCAAACCCAAGAGATCATAATCTTGTTTTTTGTACTAGAATCCAAGGATCCTCCATTGAGAGCTTGGGGCAAAAGCCACACACATATTTAGATTTAAAGGATTCTGAACCCAGGACTTTGTTTTTTAGTGTAGGAATTGAATGGTGGTCTAAGTTCCTTCCACACGAAAAGCCCATTCTTTCTTACACAGAACTGTTTGTTTCTGCAGTACAATTTAGGCCAAGAGTTGTTTTGTTGTTGCTGTCACATTAAACAATATACTGTACATCCTTACTGATCTGTTGCAAGTAATCCAAATAATCTACCAGTTAATCCCTGTATCTACTCTGTCTTTATATACAGTACATGACTTTCCAAAAAGCTCAGTAACAGAAGTGAAACCATGTTTAGTGTGATTTACGTACTTCTGTTCTCTCTGCACCTGCAGTTAGGAGAAGCTGGTCAGTTTTAGTGTTAGAATTCAGTGCCACCTAACTTTTCTTACAAAAACACTAATACCGCAGTTGGCACTCAGGATATATTCCTAGAGCTCAATCAGTGGTAAGCAGCATCATTATGACATTATACATTATTGGGTAGGTGAAAATACAAGTGAACATTGGAGCCGGTTCCAAGTCTGTGGTACTAGAGGAAGAGGAGGAGAAGAAGGAGGAGGAAAGAGCAATAGGAGAAATGCAAAAGAGGAAGTGTGTGTTGTGTGTGAGGGGAAAGGGGGGCAAAAAGGAAAGGAAGGAGAAAAGGAGCTTTTGCAGTTGCCCCACTCAGTGTCTTTTGTGGGGATGGCTGCAGGAGTGCTTCCTGCTGACTATTCCCCTGCCTGCCTGCTTACATGTATGCATGTGTTTATATGTATGGATGGCATGTATATTTCAGTCTGGGGGAATGTGCATGAACAGGAAGTGGGGGAAAGGAAGAATCACAGAGCAGGGGAGAAACAGAACTGGTGGGAAAGAGTGGAGCAGTTTGCCTCAAGCAAAGAATGACTGGCTGACTCTTGAGAAAGTGGTAAAAAGCGTGATATGATGAAATCGTGCTAAACGGTATCGTGTTAAATTGGAATATGACTGTACAGTACTTACCAACTTTGGCTACAGTAGCATGTTCTGTTACATCAATGTCACTATATATTCTGCTAAAGAATATGAGAGCCATTTCTGATTTCTTATTTGGAGATGAAATTAACATATTAGGCTACTCTGAATCTTCAGAAAACTGTTTCAGAAGCCCTTAGCTGGAGTAAGTCCTCACCCATGCAAATATAAAAGGAAGGATAAAGCATGAATCTGTTCAAAAGAATAGGAAGAGTTGTATTGTTTCCTTGGAAGTAGATATATATGTTGTTCCTTCCTTGAAATGGTTTGTGCACACAGAAAGGAAATGAGTATTTAGGTGAGAGCTGTTGTTGTGTTCTTTGAGGACAGGAAATGCAGTGATACACTATTTTTATTGCCAACTAGTACTAAAAGGCCAAGTCATTGTTTGCAAATAACCTTGTACATACAACAACAAAAGCAAGGTGAGCAGATACTGTAGCTAATTGCCTATCCTTGTTTATAGTTAGAAGGAACAGAACTGTTCTAGAACAGGGAAAATGTAGCCTCTCCAGATGTTGCATAACTCCCATCATTACTAGCCAGCTACGTGCTAGATGTCAGTTATATGGAAGCCCTGTTAAAGCAAATTAAATTTGTTTGCAATGATTTTTGCACACTAAGCTGCTGGACTGTGCAGGAAGAAGTTTGCATTGTATTTCCTGCGGTATGTAATCCTCCACAAGGACTGCCATGTGATATCCAGTGCTCATAAAAGTGCTGTTCATTGATGACACAGCAGTGTGTTTGTAGCTACCTTATATATCCATGCCTTTTTGGATTGGAACTACTATCAGCAACAGACTCTTAACATTCTGTAATTGAATTTCTGTTCTTTGAATAACACAGATTCTATATGATTCTTTCTTCCTCTCTATATTTCTGTGTTGGCACAGTTTGTTGAACTGTCTATGTACATAGCAGTATGTGAACTGGTAATTATATCAAAGGAGCATCCTGTTCAGATAATTAATGACATAAATATCAGAACAGGAATTAAAATTAACTTTGAATCTTGTGTAAAATATTTGCACAAATCACAAAAGCTGTATTATAAACACAGTATACCAATGGAATTCTTGGTTGTTTTTAGGCTGCTCTACTTACAGTGTGTATCTGTTTAATAAGCAGTTGGTTACTGGATAGTGGATTAATTTAAAGCCTCTGGGAAGAAAATGAGGGTACGAGATTGCTTTTCTTATAACATGCATGAATTTCTAAATGTATATGTTCAGCCTTTCTCTTTGATCCTTTAGTATATTGATGGAGTATTTTAGAAGGCTTGAAATGGCTATAGTTCTACTTCTTCACCCTCGGCTAATACTGTTCCTGTAATTAACAGGTTATATACAGTTTGCTTTTAAGGCCCACTGTTTAGCTCCAGTGAGATGTCTCTAAACAGCTTTTCTGACCAAAGCTGCTTGATTACAGTCTCTAATATGGCATACAAGCAAATTGCCTTTGTATACTAATGGTAGGAATATCTGCCATTATTCTTTAATAACAATTGTAAATTCTTTTTCTCTGAATCCTTATAAGCTATGTCTCCCATCATAAAAATATTTCCAGCTTTATCTCCATCTGTTCCTAAGACGTCTTGCTCATAAAATCATCTCTATTTAATTCTGCTTCAGCTTGTTCTACATTTTTAAATCTTCCTTTAAAATACGTTATAAATCTATTTGTGTGCATTGTTTAAGAATATGAACCTTCAGAAAAAAAAAGAATCACTGAATTTATTAAGCTGGTTGGTGGATAAACTCCCTTAAATGTCATTTGAGCACCATAATTTCTGAATGTCAAGTTAATTGAAGGTGGCATTTAACATGAGGTGCCCGGAGAGAACCTCGTTGGAGGGGAGAGGATTAGTTAAGATTACCCAACAGAGTGTGTTAAATCTTTTGTTGTTGTGGTATTACATACTGTTGCAGTCAATTTTGGTTTTGTCCAAGTCATGTTGGACATTTAGTGTTTGTAGTAACAGGAAAGAAGATGGCTGTTAGTTCATTGTAGAATATTCTGGACCATATTCCAAGCCTAATATTCTACATGTGGAATGGCTAGTCAATCTGAGACTCTAGACTTGAGGAGAATTTGCTGCCTGAAGAAGAGTTGTTTTGTACAGTTCCTGGCTTCTAAGCAGTCACGTATTTTTGTTACAAAAGCTAAGAATGTCCGTTATATCTTTGTGTTTAGGTTGTGGAATGTCAAAGGCTAAGAGGTATGGTATACTTTCAGTAGGTTCCTTTTGTGTATTGTCTGTGAAGGGCTAATAGTCTTGATGTAATCTTGATACAAAGTTCAGAGCTTCTTTCTGCAGAATATCAAAGACATCTGTGTTATGTAGTCTGTTGAAAGATTTATTTCTTTGGTTTTTTTTTTAAATACCAGTTAGAAAAATATGTAGCATTTGAATTATTTTAATAATTAACCATTAAAATCAGTTGCTATATTTTAGTTGGTGACTGTGATCTACCTTTTCTAGTATATATGTGTTTTTTTTTAAATATTTGTTGTGTTTCCTCTGTAGTTTTAGAGTTCTAGGTTTAATTGCTGGGCTATATTGTATCAAAGAAGTAATAATAACTTGATAATACAAGTAGATGTTCTTGTTTCCTCTTATAAAAAATAAGATAATAAAATAATCTTATAACGGTATTTTTATAACAGTCTATTAAGAAATATACTGATAAAATATAAAGATACATTAATTAGAATGGTTTTGTTCATAATGAAGCAGTGGTTTATCTGAAAGACTGGTTTTGGAAAAGGTACTCATCTGGTACTTAAAATGTTAAACTTTAAAAATAGCATGATTAGCAAGCAGCAATATTAAGCTATCTGTTATTCAGAATATATTTCAAGACAAACACTCAATCACATAATGTGATAGTCTGCTTTGTTTTGGGTCAGAGGGATTGGGAATTATTTTTAATAATTTTATCTGTCTGTCTGTCTGTCTGTCTGTCTCTGTAAACATCTGCCCCCTAAAGTAGCATTTATATTGCCATTTCAAAGCACATTAAAAATAATTATTATATTTATCATAATAAATTGTGAATCCTCTTGATTCTTCCCAGATGATTTTTTTCATTACCCAACTGGTTATATGGAGATTAGATGTAGTACCACAAGGCTTACTCTAGCTTTTTGATTTAATTCACCAATGTGTTTGCCAAGTCCTTTTGCCAGGACCCCCCCTTTTTTCCCCAGCCATATTTTATTTACACATGCCAAGCCTTAAAGCTGTGGACACTCTGACACTTTCCAGCCTAATCACCAAATCAAATCTTGCCAGAACAGAAAACTGCAAAATAGTTTGTGGGCAGTGTAACTCTTGGTACCATCCTACATTTCCATTGCTAAGTAGGAAAGAGTGCCCAGAGAGTACTTACCAGTGGTTTCTTTTCAAAAAGAAGGGAAGCTTCAGTTGAGATGCTAAGTCAAGATCGGTTACTTAGGAGTGGGGAACATGGGACCCTACAAATGTTATACAGCACCCACCATTCCTTATCATAGTAACTTGGGCTGACAGAACTTGTGTCTAATTACATCTGGAGGGCTACAAGTTGCTCATCCATCAGTTATCA